AAAATTGTATGATGATGTTGCAGAACACCCTTCCGTTAATGAAAATGGAGCTAATGATGCTTTGAAGCTAATGTTGTCACAAAACTTTTCCACACAAGGGATTGATTTATTGTTAAATAATCTAACACCACATGTGCCAGACCATGCTGGTGATCAATTACAAATAGTTGATGCTTTTATCTCAAACAGAAGCCTGGATATGCATCAGTCAGACTTGATGGAACAAACTTATGACTCTGCTGACCTTACATCATTTGATGGAAGCAATTTAAGTGACATGGAAGGCGAAAGTCTTGTTGAGCGGTTGAAACAACAAGTTGAGTATGACAGAAGATGCCTTAATGCTTTGTATAAGGAGTTAGAAGAAGAAAGAAATGCTGCTGCTATTGCTGCAAATCAAGCAATGGCCATGATAACAAGGTTGCAAGAGGAGAAGGCAGCACTGCATATGGAGGCACTGCAGTACTTAAGAATGATGGAAGAGCAAGCTGAATATGATGTAGATGCCCTGGAGAAAGCTAACGACCTTCTCGCTGAAAAGGAAAAGGAGATACAAGATCTGGAGGCAGAGCTAGAAATTTGTAAGTTAAAGTTGCCTGATGAATTGTTGGGTGAGACTGTTCCTGCAAAAGCAAATCCAAAGGCTCCTTTTGACTTTACGGGTTCTAGTACCATCGAAGGCATGTACGAGCCTAGTTTTATACGCTCTTCATGGCCTGATATTGAGAACGAAAAGCTTTATATTGCAAAATGTTTAAAGTGTTTGGAGAGGAAACTTTATCAATGTGCTGATAATGGCACTTTAACTGATGCATTTGATGCGGAGGGTTCTGAAGAAGAAATTGAAAGAAAGATACATTTTCCCAATGGTGATGGAATTGAGATAAATGGTCAGATGAAAGAGAATGGAATTTTAATTCAGAAAGACTTAACCATGCCTGACCCTGGGCTTCTTGTCAAAGAAGGGTCTACCTTTTCAAATGGAAAAAATCAAGTTGTTGGTGAAGAAAAGAATCTTTGCATTCCCAACGAGCATAAAGATTCCACGTATAGAGACAATAAATTGGTCGCTTTGGAAAATGAAATCTCAGACCTCAGTGAAAGGTTGGAGGCACTTGAGGCTGACTGCAATTTTCTTGAGCGCTCTTTTAACTACCTTGAAAATGGAGAAGAGGGGCTCATATTTATACGACATATTGCCTTTCAGCTGCAAGAATTACGGAAACTTGGCATAATGCGAAAATTACCTGTTCCGTGAGTTTTAAATGCACAAGCTAAAGGTATATATATGATTGTTTATATATGAAATAATTCTCTACTGATTATTGTTAGAGATCAGGCTTCCCTTTCTGTTTACATTATTTTGTTTTCCCTTTTTTTAGATATACTAGTTTCATGCAAATTCCGCACGAGGCACAAAATTTATAAATGCCTTAACTGGTGGCCTCAGAAACTGTTTAATGTGCCTCTTGCTGATAGTTTAGTTATGCTGCATCTGTGTCCGAATACTTTCTTGCCACTGTCCTCCTCCTGTTATCTCGTCTTTCAAGTAAAGTGATTATATGTACAACTTGGGGTTAAGTTAGCATGACTAATTGTTGGATTCTACATGTTTCTTCTTATGATATTCTGGAGTTTAACTTCTAACAATAACTTAATATTTTCCAGATATACTCCGAACGTGAAGGTACTAACAAGGAAACCTAAAGTGCATTATCAGGAAAAAAGAGGGAAAAAGAAAACTTGTGTGCAAAGACTAAAGAATTCAAGCTGTATTGCTCTACCTTTGCCAACAACTTTAAGGAGTCGAGATAAGATTTTGCTTGAATGTACCACCTTAAAATCGAATGAGAACAGAACAAAATTCCTTTTCCGAAGGATTTGTATGACTCCATGGATCGATCAAATCATATTCAGGAAAGAAGCGCACCCCTCCAGTGTCCCCTCCTTACCAGGATGGATTTTGTGCTGCTATACGAATTTAGGTTCAGAAAGGAGTATTTGTTGACTGCAGGTTTGAGAGATGAGACCTTTGCAGATTGGTGTATTTAACTTTTCCAATGTTTGAGATTGGTTCCCATTAGCTGAACAACTTAAAATTGTACATTTCCATCTGATTCTATCTGTATTTGGTATTTATATATAGAGGAGATAGCACTTTTTTTTTTTTACACTTTTTGCCGGCAGACATGAGTCTGTTGCCTCCCATTGAAAAGTTAAGTCGTTTCTTCTTCTTCTTTCTTTTTGTGAAGATTTAAAAAGCAGCATAGACATTTTTCTACTCTTGTTTAGCAGCATGCATGACTCTGGTGCCTCCCATTGAAAAGTTGACTTGTGTCTTCTTCTTCTTCTTCCTTTTTCTTTGTTGTGTGCAGATTAATAAACAGCATTGAAGATTCTTGAGAGCACAATCAAGATATTAAAAATTAAACTCACTGCGAGAAAATCGAGATTTCAACCACTGTTCGTGATTCGGAATTTCTCATTTTATTCAAGGGTTATTGAAGTTGGTACGTGAAAAATAATTGTAATACAAGTTTATAACAAAATTTATAATCTAATTCGAACTCGTAATCTTTTATAGAAGAATGCAAGTATCATTAGGCCACGCACACACACAAGTATCATCATCTCATGTCACCAACACCGGCGACTCATACTCTCTCCTCCACCTCTTGACCTCATTAGGCAACGCATACACACAAGTGCCATCATCTCACGTCACCAACCTCGGCGACTCATACTCTCTCCTCCACCTCTCGACCTCATCAAGCTACGCACTCACACAAATACCACCATCTTACGTCACCAACATCGGCGACTCAC